TGGAGAAGGAAGTCCTCACCACGGTGGGGGCGTCCTGACACGGAGGGTCGGCGGAGAGGCGCAGCCTCTGGAAAGGAGCCGCACGATCAACGAACGCCCGAACTTTCGGGTTCGGACAATGACCCTTCCGATACTCAGCCAAGACGTCTAACCCTGTACGCGTGGGGGCAACACAACTCCGACTGAGCTTGATTCCCCTCCCCTGGGACCAACCCCCGCAACGAAGGCACAGTGTCTGCTCCTTGGACGCATCACGACACGACACCGAATCGCCACCAGCTTACCGAGCCAACGTCCCTGACATGGCGACAAGAGTGTGTCCCATGGAATCCTGGAGCAACTTCTTGGGAAATTGCGGCAGCCCAGGACATCCATCCATGGGCGCTTCGTTCTCTGGGCAGTTGAGCACTCGAAAACAAAGCGTACATTGAGTGCCGAGTGGGCCGTGCTCCCACTTGTGCCACGACGTCTTTCGCCGTGATCGCCCAGAGGGTATTCGATGAGGCCTTGCCCACCGAACTTCATTCTCAAAAGGGGGGAGCACCGCACTTGCAAGCTTCATGCAGTGTCCAGCCCTCTCGCCTGCTAAAACCAGCTCTTGTGAAAAGGCTGGCGAGGGACTGGGATGCAAACTGAATCCGTCTTTGGCATAACGATCCGCCGCCGCGTTGGCTTCGGCAAACATCCGCTCGACCCCTCCTACGGATTCTATCTGCTCTCGCTCTCTATGGGCCTTGACATGACGGATCGTGTGAATCATGGTCGTGCCCTCGAGCTGCTGTGCAAAAGCTCGAATGCCTCCAAACTTGTTTGACAACGCAAGCTGGGCATCTACATCCTTCTGAGCGAGGCGTATGGCCGCCATACAGTCAGCTCCGAGCTCTGCTGGTCGCGTGGCGATCTGTCCACCAATCGCAATCCCTACGTGCTCCGCCATAGCTGGTGGTTGCGGCAAGGACCCTGGGACGACGCCTTTGACGATCGCCACACGATCCTCGCCTGCGTCAGGACACACAGCCACAGCCCAGGCAGCACGCTGCAGTGGCCGAATCAATGGCCTATTGCTAGGCCCGTCCGAAGCCAAACGCAGCGGCGCTAAACTGGTCAAACTCGCTATCTCTTCTGGCTGCATGTCCAGTGCGTTGCCCTCCCTATCATACAAGTAAACCTCAGACGAAACCAAAGGGCAGGGCAACTCACTGTCAGCATACACGTGGCCACCACTCGTGAAAATTGGCAGGTCGGGGCTTTCACGAGCCGCGTTGGGGAAAGTGCCAGGCACCTCGGAAGCTTCACGCGCTTCGACAATACGAGGGAGCTGGCAACAATATAACCTGTGGTGGACTGTGTCAGGTTGACCGCACTCACACAACTCGTCACACACGTAACCCGCACGCATAGCCCTATCTTTCGTCCACAGTCCACCACATCCGCATGTTTGGATTAAATACTTCTGATATCGTGTATATCTCTTGGCGTTCGGTGCAACCGTATCCCTCAGGAGGTCTAGGGTCGCACGAGAACCTTCAGGAAAGCCTAGGTGCCTCGCGAGGTCTAACTCACGCTGGCGCTGCAAACCTTGCTCTATCATGTCCATGAGGAGGGGCGGTGGGGTGGTCTCTATTTCGACCTCTAGGCCGTTATGATCAAACCACTTCAAAGGACCATCCGCTCGCCAACCAGCCCTCTTGAGACATAAAACTGCTCGAGCTAACGGGCCCTGGGATCTATTCCACGAATCACATTCACCAGGCTTGGATAGGTCCCAGAGCCTGAGAAGCTCAGCTCGCGAAACTAATGACAGTGCGGGACGCCGCGAAGCGGTCCATATCATTCGACACCATTGGATAGCTGGTGCCACGGCTAATCTACCACTACTGTCCCCGAAAAGGGCAACCTTGGCCCTCAACGACACCCCTCCATGACTCGGGCGGAGGAGGAGGAGGAGGAGGAGGAGGAGGAGGAGGAGGAGGAGGAGGAGGAGGGAGGGGGGGGCAAAGGAGGATGAGGATAATGAGGACGAGGGGGAGGAGGCGGAGGCGGGGGAGGAGCAGTAGGAGGAGGAGGAAGGTCTGGTGCCTGATGGGGGAAGGATGATCGGAGTCGCACCACGGGCCTTTGGGGTAGGTGGTAAGGACCTCGCCGAAGTCAGGGCGCCATTGCTTCGTCTGGAAGCAGCCGAAGTCCCGCATTGGCACCGCTGTAACCTAGTGTAACTATTAAATGTAACGACCCCCCCTGTTCTCTCGGCGGTGCAGAACGCTGGCCCTCGAACCTGCCGCGGCGGAGATTAGTTTGCCTTCATTGTTGGGCGGGCTGGGCAATGTCAAAGTTCCCCCGCCGGGAAACAACGCCCCTTGGTCGACCCTACGCTAGCCCAGCTAAGGAGGCAGGGGGGAAGAGGAGAAGGGGGAGGAGGAAGGGGGGAGGAGGAAGACGAGGAGGAGGAGAAAGGAGTGGGAGGACGGGAGGAGGAAGAGATGCAAGAGTAGGAGAGGAAGAAGAAGTGAAACACGCGTGTTAACTTCAAATCCGATAGGTCAGCGTGAACGATTCACTCTCTATCATTGTCACCACGCCTTGCAAGTCCACCGGGCACGCGCCGATTGAAGACGCGAGTGCGCAGGGCAGCGCGAAGCCATGACATTGTGATGCTGGGTGCGCAGCGCAAAGAGTGCTTCGGACAAGTGAATTACACTGTGTTCTGGCGAGTCCGGGGCGCGCAGACATACGTCTCCTGTGCCAAAAATCTTCGCGCGAAAATCTTGGCGTTCCGCATTGTCATTTACGACGCTTCTCGCGCGTGCTCAGCCCCATCAGCGCGCGTCGTTGCCATTCATGCAAAGCCCCTGGCAGCAGCAAATCACGCAAGCATTCGCCCGCCAGCTCAGCTGCGCAACCTTTTGCCGACGTTCGATCGTCGGGCGGGCAACCGCTTGATAGCCGAGGCGAGAGAGTGCAAAAGATTGCACCGCAGAAGGGGCGGGAGCGGAGGCTGGCGTAACCATTGCGGCTGAAAACGCGCCGCCGCGCACTCTGAGGGCAGATGGGAAAAAACGAACTCTGCCGTTCATCGCTGCGATTGCTGGGCGTCCACCGCGCTGCTCTTGCCGTCTGGGACGGCGTCCTCCAGCGCGAGACCGGGCGACGCGATGGCCCCTCTCCGCGGGACCTTTCCGAATCCAGCTACTCGCGCGTTGACTTCAAAATCTAATCGGTCACCGTTAAAATTCGACTCTAGTTTCTCCAGGCCACCATGGCGACTTTTCCCTTGTGGGCAATGCAAAACTCGCCACGTGCGCGCGGAGGCGCGCGCGGCCAGCTTTTCATTCTTCAGATTGAATGTTGCAATGAACTTGCGTTGTTTTCAACGTGTTCAATGTTCAAGAATAAAGAAAAATCGACATGTTGGCCTGCGAACTAAAATGAACCTCTAACGGTGACCCACGTCCTGCCAAGATGGGCCAGGGACCATCAGATGCTCGCCTTCGCCTTAGACCACCATCGCCCCTTGCCCCCACCCCCAAGCTGCCACCGCCCCTTGCCCCCGCCCCCTTTCCGCATCTTGCGCCCAAGCTGCTCACTTCTCAGGGTCGGCGAAACTGGCGGCGAGATTTTGGCAATTAAACATTGGGCATCGATTTGCAGCGTAGTCCCCATGACCGGGCCCCCGCCCGTCTGTGGGAACTCATGGGAGCCTACCTTGTCATCTTGCAGGCTCTTGCAAATCGACGCTAATCGACGCGACTCGACGCTAGTCGACGCTGATCGACACTAATTCGGTGCATTCTCATCGACTGCCAGACGCTAGCACACGCTAGTGCGTCCTGCGGGCGAAATTTCGAGGACATGCAATGAGAGCCGCGCGTGTATACACATTAAGGTACCTGGGCCCCGTCCCAGGGCATCGCAGAAACGCCACATGACAACTCAGAGTGCATAATGCTCTGGCCAGCTCTCTGAACGACATGTGAAAAAACAACTGCGCTGTGCCGGGGCCGCCAAGTACCACAAAGTGGTGGACGAGCATAACATGGTATAGTGGACATGTCCCTGGCCCCGACCTTCTGCGAATCAAAAACGAAGCCCCCCCCACGCATCCAGCCCGAGATGCGCTCATGTTGGTGACCCAGTCCCTGCGCGCTTGGCTTTCCAATCAAGAAATGATTCAAATACAAAGCTTGCGGAAGGGCGGTCCATGAACCCTACCGCCTCCTCCCCCCCAAGGCGCCCCTCCCCCGCCCGCCCGAGAGCTGTGGCGGAATCGCGCGGCAGCGCAACTGGAAAATATAGTGGACATCCTCCGAGCCTCGATACAACGATTCGCACTAAAAGGACCCCTAACCCCTAACCCTTTGGGAGCGGATCTAAGTTAGGGGGTCCAAACTTTAGTGATAGAGGGTCGTTTCTGCAGATGTATCAAGCCAAACCACCTAGACTGATGAATGGACGATCCCTGATGCAAAAACGTTGACCTAAGTGCGGCTACATCTTCACTGTGTCATGAGGGTTACGGTTTTGTGCTCATTCTCGATGATCGTTTAAGCGACCCCTATCCCCATGGGCGCAGCCTGTGCCCCGCTGTCCGATTTACCCCCTAGATGGGCATTTAGGCCGCTTCCTGCGGGTTGCTGGGGATGTATCCCCGGGGGTGAGATGGTGGGGGTCCGGATGGGGATAGGGGTCAGTTAAACGATACTGATACTCATCATCATCACATCATCATAATCATTTCCCCCCCCCCTTCCCCCCCCCCTTGGAGGCTCGGAATTGAACACCAAGGCCAACACAAAGGGGGGCCTCCACCAGGGGAATGCGATCCAAGATTCTGGTGTCGGTGGTAATGCTTCGGCCCCCTGGGAAGCACCATCATCACTGACATCGAGAGCATCTCCCCTCGGTGGAGGCACACCGCCCGATATTGGTGGTGTTGGGCCGGGCAAGCGATACTTATACAAGGCTCGCACAAGTTGCCGCCGAGTCCTCCCCCCCCACGGCTCCAGCTGGCGCGCGGAGGCTTGCCCTCTCGCCAGCCGCAACTCCTGCGGGGGCAAAAGGCGCGGCGCCCATATCGAAGAGAACACGGACCAGGCTGCGAAGGAACGGGCACAAAGACGAAGCCAGGACGAAGACAAAGTTGGACACATGAATCGAGAATCTCTGAAATTTGGCGGCTTTGGAGGATGTATCAGGCGCCGCGGCCAACGGATTTCCCCTCGTCCTAGCCCCGCCCGGGGCAGAATCGACGTCGTCCCACGTCTTTTCGCCCACACGGGGCGGGCCCGACCCTGAGATCCTGGCGCCTCGATTTCATTCGAGACGGGCGTTTTCGCCCTGCTTCGGGCCCCAGGACCCTCACCCATCGATCTGGTTCGAAAAATGGCGCAGACAAACTGGGACTAGAGCTCCGTCAGATCTCAGGGGACCGCGGCGGCGGAGGAACAGTTGATGAGCAACGAGCAAGTTCTGCAAGCTGCGAGCGAACCTCAACAGAGCACGCTCAAGGCGAACCCGCGGCATCCCGCAGAAGGGGCAAGCCAGGGCGAGCGACACAGATACCACGCGGATGCACGTACAGGCACAGCGCGCACGTAAACTCATGCATGCAAAGTCGGCACAATCGCCGAACTCCAGTCTCCAGCCGAGCAAGGCAAAGGTGGGACCTGGTCGGGCGGGGGAAAGACGACAATGCGCTCGCGTGCGCTCCGTCGGGGGGGGGGAAGCTTCACCGTCGCGGAAGCTGCCCGCTGACGCAATCCTTTCCCCAGAGCACGCGGGCGCGCGCCGAGTGCATTTCAATCGCAAGATCATTAGCAAGGTCAGAGCCGGGCATTGGCGGGACTGGGTTTCGTGGAGCCTGGTTTGGTGATGTGTGCCGGTGGACGCCCCCCTCCCCTTCCCGATTCCACTGCAGAAATAATCTCTGTGAAGAACGAACCCCTTTTCTTCATCGCCTGAAGGTGCCTGGAGCAAAACGGTTGCGGGTAACAACGATGCACATCAATGAAACGATATCCAACATGTCAGCTCACGCAACGATAACATAATACGCTACACAACTGCACTCCTCCTAAAGCGCAGACTGAAACCATCTCTTCAGGCCAACTTTCTATGTAGCCTGCTCCAGGAATCACGAAAATCAAAACCCATGCTGACCAAATGCTTACGCGATAGATGTGCCGGCACAAACTTAGTCAACATGTCACTGTCATTCTTGTGTCTACCTTAATGACACGGATCCTACGCTTCGAAACGGCGCCCTGGACCCAAAGAAACCTGCTTTGCACATGCTTCTGCTTGCCCAAACCCTTACGCTGGGCAAACGCACGAGCGGCACTCGAATCCGATGCCAGCTGGATAGGAAAATCATCATTGTTACGTACACTGACCCCGAGAGAAACTCCAAGGTCCTGAGCAATCGACTGGACTAAGAGGCCCGCGGCGGCCCCCTTCACAATCGCATAGAACTCACTCTCCCCACTGCTCAAACTCACAGTGCTCTGAAGAGAACTCGAGGCCTTCAAGACATGACGGCCAAACTTGCAAACAATGCCCGAGGTCGACTTGCGGCTTATCGGGCACCCTGCATGATCGCTGTCCACGATCACCGTCACTTCGGCAGGCAAACGCTGCGACTCGAAGCGACTGACCAGACAACGGTGAGACACAAGATATCTTCCAAGACGCTTCATATCGCCCTGGTTAGCAGAATTAGGAGACTTCATAGACCTACACAAGGTCTTAGTAGTCTCTGCTATGTATGGCCTGTCCAGACTCAAGTACGCAGCACGCATGACAAGAGACCGATGCGAGCGGACCCCCCACAGCATCCAGAGTGGGAAGTGCTTCTCTAGCCTTGGCCTCGCGAAACGAAAGCTTTGCAGCTGGACCCCCCAAACCTTTGGACCCGGGGCGATCGAGGCCTAGATCCCGCAGGATGATATCTGCATGGCGCCGGTCGCCTTCTATCTCGACCGCCCTGGGGGCATCCACAAACCTGAACACTCGATCTAAAAAACGATCTCCTTGTGATCGCCAGAATCGGGGCCCAGGATCCCTGTGCATTTCATGTCATACCGGGGCCCAAGGCAACGATCTACCTCGCACAGGGTGACCTCATCACCCAAAACCATAAAATCGTCTCCGTGAACCGCCCCTCGACCGCCGTCGCTCCCACGATAGATGAGCGCGGCCGAGGCCACACCCTGTCGCCAACCTTCTCCGGCCAGGAGTGTTATATAGTCTCCCTGCCAGATGTGAGACGCATCTTGGGTTCCATAGTATGACTTATTTAAACAAGCGCACTTACCTGCAGACCCCCCTTCTTCCGGGGGTAGGCGTATGAAAACATTGCGATGGGCCCGGGACACGTCCCAAAAACTGACGTTTAAAGGTGAACCCCAGCTCGAAGACGTCTGTGAAACCAAAAGGCTCACCAAAAATCTGATCGCCTCGAGTGGGGGCGCCCCACTAAAAAGTTCGCTAGCGCTAAGCTGCTCACCGGGCCTCTTGGCCCTTTTCATGTCCTTTGCCACTAATCTCGATGTGTATCGAACTCGTTCGCTATCCCCTTTGTTCGTGTCGACCCATCCGGTGTTAATCGGCCCCTTCCCCGTCGCTTTGTAGCACTCGGACTCATCGCGCTCGGAGTAGACCGACTGGCGCTTCATCCAATCCATCCCGAGCTTCCTGGCTTCCCTGACGAGCTCCGACTCTAACCAACCTCCGTTGACATCATCCCAAAAGCCGTTCTCCGCCACGCCGTCGTACGGCGCATCAGGCATCCAGTGCTCTATCTCTTCGTCGGGAATGGGGCCCGCCTGGGTCGCGCTATTCAACTCGCCAATCCTCTCGAGCTCCTGCTTGAGTACCTTAAGGATAGCCTTCTTGAGCTTCATCGTGTAGGACTTAGCTCCCCGAACCTTGTTCCTGCCCATGAGTTGCGTATGCTTATGCTTGCCTTTGCACCTGCGACTAAGGAGTTCAACTAGTTGTCTATTATTAATCGTCCAACCCGTTGCTTTCATGACTGACTCCATTTCTCCATTCTCGTTCTCGGCCTTCAGGCCCCAAGAACACATATCTGCACGTGCAACATAAACTCCCGGCTCCGAAGCGAGAGCGACCGCGTCTGGGTCACTCCAAGAACTTGCCGACCAAGGATGTTCGCGCCAGAACCAACGCTTGTTCTCGTGGCTCTTTCGGCACTGATGGATCCCAAAACGCAGCAACTTCGCGTCGATCTCAACCTGCAATTGGTGCTCCTCCTCATCCTTGTGCTTCCCTCGGCTGAAGGCCTGCAACGTCGTGAACTTCGTGCAGGGAGGAGCAGAGCAAAGAAGATAAGGGTCTTCGAATCCAACATCACGCTCAAACTTGACCTGATTGTTCTCGAGACTCAGGCCATACGGCTCGCCGTCCTCATTCAAAAGCTCAATGTCTGCGGCGACGCCTGGCACCAATCCGAAAGCGGGCGCCAGCTCGGTGAAACATCCTGGGTTGAAAAGCTCACTGATCGCCATAGACTGCAACTCCAGCGGGATACTCGAATCAATCTCCAAGCTTCCAACGTTCATGTCCACGGCGCCTGAGCCAGAAGCTCCTGCAGCTGGACCCGCAGAAGGGCTCGAAGCCTCAGGCATGGGAGCATCCTGAAGCGCAGCAGCTACCCGATCACCACCACCACCATTTCCAGTATCCTCGGAGGACGTACTCGGGATGGCGAACTCGAGCTCCCGAACGTAGCAACTGGTGACTTCGACGCTGGCTCTCCATCCGTTGTCCTCGTAGCTGCTCGTCGTGGTGTGTCGTCCGCTGCTCGAATGACTGCTCGAGAATTCTCCATCTGCCTTTTCGCGTCGGGCGCCAACTCTCCATCGGCACTGGCACCTGGGCCCGTGGGGGATGCGCCGGGCGCTCCTCCTCCTTGTCCCGCCCGAGCGGGAGCGACGGCCCGTGCTTCAGGTCGCTCAACTCCAGATGGCCCAGCAGCGGCAGCGGCAGGCCCCGTGTCCTGGCCCTGACGGGCCCTCTCGCTCAGAAAGTCAATGGCCTTCTGATCCCCTATGTTCACCAAATCCTCGAGCGCGCGCGCCCTGCAGCCAGCCGAGTGACTAAGGCCTGCCGCTCCTCGCTGTCCGCGCACTCGTAGCTCATCGCAGCATACGCAGCCTGCGGTGTAGCCAACCCTCGCAAGGATGGCCCTCGTCACGTAGAAGTCCCTCACAATTGGAACTCTTGCCTGCGGAGGCGGCGCCGGAGGCGCCTGAACCCCGGCAGGTGTGACCACTGGTGGAACAGCTACAGCTGGGGCAGGCACTGCAGCAACAGCCTCCTCTCCACGTCCTCGCTGCCAAGTCCAGGGCTCGCCCTGAAGCTCGAGAATGTCTGGTCCGCATCTCCATCTCTCAACTGGGTCTCGACGTACAAGCTCAGTAGCTCTCTGAACACCTTCTCTTGTGATCAGCAATGCTGTCCCACTTCGACTAGAATGTCCGATGTAGAACCCATCCAACAATCTTGACTCTAGATCTCGTTTCCTTTGGTCAATTACAAGCTTCTTGCCCTTGACGCGCTCGCCATAGGCAACGCTTGCACGTTCCCACTTGCGCCCAGTACGCAGCTCTTCTCCAGTGCGTCCATCAGCTCCAACTCGAAATCGATTAATGACTGAGGCCGCGTGTCTGATGGCCCAGAGCGCAAGCACGTGCCCGAATGGAAGGCGCTTGCCCCACCTCGACTGTAGTGCCAACAGGATGGTGCGCACCTGCGCCTTGATGCTCTTCGCTGCGTTCTCGACTTGACCGTCCGCAGCATGGTCGCCAACCGGCGACTCCTCCAAGATGATGTCCTTAGACTCACACTTGTCCACGATGGCCTTCTTGAGCGATAGCATCGCCTCCTCGCCATCCGACCTGAGAACCAACCTCTTGTGACCTAGATAGTCCAAGAAATCCGAGCACGCTCTGACAACAAACTCTCCCGTTCCTTTTTTGGGTAAAGCTGTCGCCCCATAGCATCTTAACTTCTGGCAATAAATACA